GGGGGGGAGAAAATGGGGGGCCCTCATTCTTTTTTTAGTGAAACAAGGGGGGCCTTCAAAGGTCAAAAGGAGGATTGGGAGAATTAGGAGGATTTTTTAAACGATTGAAGCGGGGGTACCCGAGAAACATCAATGCTATTAGGCAGGGGTCTGGAAAAAACGTTTCTCCTCCACCCCCTCCCCCCTCCCCCCTCCGACTTAAATAATGACCGGTCCCTTACTTTAATCTTTACTCAGCGTTAAATCTAGATCTATGCCTGTATTTGCCGCTGTCTTTGAAACCGCCAATACAAGCGTTTTAACCCAGCAATGTATTTTTGGAAAGAAGGTGCTATTTAGATATCTATATAGTAGATTATTCTTATTAGGATTATTTTGGTTGGAGAAAGTCAGATGATTTGCTTTCCCATTTTTGCGTCCGGTCGTCTATTAATAGCGAGCTGGCTACTGCTGATTAAATGTGCTGTTCACTTATCGTCCATATGTTTGTCCTTGGGAAAAGCTGCTTCTCTTAGCCTAGGTTCAATTGGTTCACTGAAATAACAAGAGCGATAACAATTTTCTAATTTGTGTTAATGAATAAAAACAGTTGCTGTTGTAAGATGTATGCGAATTTGAATCAACAGAAGTAGTATAGGCCGCACCGCACGGGCCGGATTTTCGCGGAGGATAGCTAAGCTATTGATAGCCTGATAGTTAAGCTATTGATAGCCTGATAGCTAAGCTATTGATAGCCTGATAGCAGGAGGAGAGGAGGTAATCTCCGGGGGGGTACTCCGCCAGAATTTGGGTAGGGGTGTTCCGCTGGGATTCTGAAAGGGGTACCCTGTTTATGACAAAAAAAAAAATCGTATTTGTAGACCCTGTTTATGACAAAAGATAAAATCAATTGCATTGAGTTCCTGTTTCAATTATCATGTCATCTCACGTATCATAGTTTCGGTCAATACGAAATAGAAATCCTGAATATGACAAGAAACTCAGGAAGAATTTGGACCTTGAGTGAAATTGCATACCCTGTTTATGACAAGAAGCTCGAAAAACCATACCCTGTTCRGCGGATCATCCTCGTATAGTTCATATATGGGAGTACCCCCCCGGGAGGTAATCTTACATCGACCTCTCATCGACCTCACATCGACCTCATCGACCTCTCATCGACCTCTCATCGACCCTCAATCATAGAAAAAATAAGCAAATATAAGATTATTATAAAATCAATTATTAATTTTGGTATTTCAAATGGTCTTGGCCGTGGAAATGAGAATTGGTTATGGGCTTCCTGTGTTTTCAATAACTAAATCGGATGGGCTGAACTGTGGAAATAAGAATTGTCCATGGGCTTCCTGTGTTTTTCAATAACTAAATCGGATACGGGCCTCCTGTAGATTTGTGCATTTGTGATTTGTGCATAAAATTGTTTTGATGCCGTGTCTTATTTATCACGTGACAAAAATGGTTGAAGGAAAAGAGATATGACAGCATTAATAAGCTTGAATGCCAGGGAATTTTAGAGTCATTGTACCACAGTTCAGTATGAAATAGAATGAACGCTGTTTATATAATATAGAACAAGATAACAGAACTAATCATTTTCAGCTGATTTTTGCATAATGAGGAAGAACTTAGTAGGTCTTATTGTTTATCGTTTATGAGTCATTAATTGCATCGTGTTGGATACAATAGTCATCAAAATTTCATTAGTCCTTTGAATTCATTGAAGTTAGCGTGATATCCTCGAGATCCTAACTGGAATAACGTAGCCATTGCGTTTCTCAAAAGTAAACTTTTTTAGGTCTTGGTTGGTTGGTTGAGTTTTGGAGTTAAAAATTCAAAATCCCCGCGCTCTAAAAATTGGATTGGTAAACAAAAGACTTGTCCAAACTTGTCAAACAATAAACTCATGGCGTCAATTGGTCGTCATGGCAACTTCACAATACCGACCCGTCATTTTATGGTAATAAGTAATAAAAATAATTAAATCCACCGCATATGATACACGTAATGCGTGACGTATTAGAACATAATTAAATCCACCGCATATGATACACGTAATGCGTGACGTATTAGAACATAATTAAATCCACCGCATAAAATACTCGAATCCTCCGCAAAAATTAGTAAATCCTCCGCGAAAATCCGGCCCGTGCGGTGCGGCCTATACTACTAACAGATATCCAGTTATAACCGAGACTTAAATTTAACTAACTAACTTACCACCTTTCTACTCCGTTGTTTTTGGCCGTCAGAATCAGAACTACAGAAGGCCTCGATAGAGCTGTGATGAGACTTATCAGTGGATGTATCTGGGTCGTCGGCTACGGCAGCATGGTCACCGGAAGATCTTTCGCCAAAAACTTTCTTGCCCTTTTTCTTTTCCTTGTTGCCCTTCGAAATAATTAAAGATATAGTTTAAAGAATAAAAAGCCCAATTAGAGTTAAAACGTAAATCTTAAAGTGCTACTACGACGAAAATCGCTCAAACTTGGATTCAGCTGAAACTTCCTAAAAATACTCTTTAAAGGTCCAATAATCACTGTATGAAGTGTTTTCTCGATATTCAGGACGAAAGTATGATATTTTTACGATTATTTTTTGGAGTCTGTGACGTCATACACTCAACATCGAACATCGCTCCATACATTTCTTTGTAGTTTATAATCAAAATATCAGTAGTAAAGGGATCGAGAAAGAAATACCCAAACACCCCAAAATATAAATTATAGTCCCAAGTAATGTGAAATAAGCACATTAGCCACCCTTTGGGCTTCATAGGAATAAAATAAATTAAGGATTTATATACAAAGAAATGTATGGAGCGATGTTCGATGTTGAGTGTATGACGTCACAGACTCCAAAAAATAATCGTAAAAATATCATACTTTCGTCCTGAATATCGAGAAAACACTTCATACAGTGATTATTGGAACTTTAAAGAGTATTTTTAGGAAGTTTCAGCTGAATCCAAGTTTGAGCGATTTTCGTCGTAGTAGCACTTTAATGCAACCTACTAAACCTACCGGGTTTGCAGTCATGCTGGCAGTTTGTGCGTCAGCAATGGCTTCAGCCTGACAAACAATGTACAAGAGAGATCGCTGAAAGTCAGTTTTTAATTTAATAAAAATTCAAGGGGCCAAGCTCAACTCATAATCAATCTGGTTTATCGCGTTTCCGACTGTATTGAACGGCATTGCCGACTTATCTTTGTTGTATATGAAAAGTGGTTAGCGATCTCAGTGGCTGGTAATAAGAACATTTCATGAGTTATGAATCCATCATTTATTGAATTTGAAAAGTTGGATTTTGCATTTTTAAAAGATTTTTTGATTTTTTGACACGACATCATGTATCGGCATACAGCATTGGTTCAATTTGTGATTGAGTCGCATCGGTATGGTATCCGCGAAAGTATGCAAACTTATCCATGGGAGTCAGTTATAAGCAATCAAAAATGTACGTTTTACTTACGGTAGCATCAGTATCAGAGTGATCCACATCTCCTGGGACGTTAGTAGTGTCGAGTGGAAGCTTTGCACTTTCAGCGCCCTTTGCTGCAGGAGATGAATGTTCTTCACTTTCCTCTGTTTTTGCTTCTTCTCCCTTTTGGGAACACGAGAAAAAGTACCAATGAAAATTTGTTTTTTAAGAAAATGAAATGAAATTCTTCCATGTTATATTGATGTGTTAATATGAACGAAGGTTATCGCTGCGAAACTATGCAGACTTATCCATGGGGAGTCAGTTATAAGCAATCAAAAATGTACGTTTTACTTACCGTAGCATCAGTATCAGAGTGATCCACGTGTCCTGGGACTTTAGTAGTGTCGAGTGGAAGCTTTGCACTTTCAGCGGCCTTTGCTGCAGGGGATGGATGTTCTTCACTTTCCTCTGTTTTTGCTTCTTCTCCCTTTTGGGAACACGAGAAAAAGTACCAATGAAARTTTGTTTTTCAAGAAAATGAAATGAAATTCTTCCATGTTATATTGATGTGTTAAAATGAACGAAGGTTATCGCTGCGAAACTATGCAGACTTATCCATGGGGAGTCAGTTATAAAGCAATCAAAAATGTACGTTTTACTTACGGTAGCAGTATCAGAGTGATCCATATCTCCTGGGACGTTAGTAGTGTCGAGTGGAAACTTTGCACTTTCAGCGCCCTTTGCTGCAGGGGATGGCTGTTCTTCACTTTCCTCTGTTTTTGCTTTTTCTCCCTTTTGGGAACACAAGAAAAAGTACCGATGACAATTTTTTTTCCAAGAAAATGAATTGAAATTCTTCCAAGTTTTGTTGATGTTTTAAAATTAACGAAGGTTTATTGTGGTAAAAAAGAATTGTGCCTGTATAATTAAGCTGATCGTCAAGAAAGAAAGAGCAAGAAAATAAGTTCTGACATCAAGTAGCAAATATATAAAAGAAAAACAACCGAACGAAAGAATGAACAAAAATAGCTTGTGCTATGACAAGCAGTTTCATAATGACCATAAAACCTAGTATTGATGCAGTATGACGGTTATAAAAATACATGTTTTGCTTCTCGTTTACGTTTTATTTGATCGCTTTAGAGTTTCTATTAATTAGAGAAAGATTACAATTTAACGATATAACAGAAAACGATTAAAGCAAAAATAAAAAATAAAAAGGAATAATTACTTACAAAACATTGTGTAACTAGTAAGACGGTCAACGTTGAACTGAATTGAACTTAATATAAATTATATACATATTTAAAGGTCTAAATACAAAGGCAAAAAATGCGCACGGGAAAAAATTTGTTAACTCGAATATAGCACTAACATCCTCCCCCCAATAATGAAGATGTGCGACTCTTATGACTGAAACTTATTAGTGCTTGTTATTAATAATCTTGTAAAGAAAGTGTAATTAAAACAATAATATTAAACATAAAGTGTTCAATGAAATTTTTATGGTGTCTCTACTCTATTGGGCATCGTTCTCTATTGGTCGTTCAAGGGTTGTAGTTGATGTCTTCACTGTTGCAGCAGCAGGGGGGGGACTCGCGGCCACCCCCCGGAATTACATGGGTATTCCCCGCGCTCACGTACGTGCGTCGGCCGCGGGTATTACCCGTAAGGTCGTTCTGGGTATTACCTGCGTAATTCGATTCGAAAAGCTCTCTACGGGTTTTACTGGTGCCCCACATTACTAAGTTAAAATATTACCCCTA